AAGCTGCACTTTCCTTTACTTCCTACTTCTTTACCTCCTTCTCCAGATAGCTATTTGGCTGTGTTCTCACCCTCAACTTTTCTGCATAACTCCTCCAACCCCCTCCTACCTCCGAACTCCCTCTTGTACCTCCATCCCACACCTTCGTGTGCTGCTAAACTCCCTTCCATATCCTGCCCTCCTCACCACGTCCTGCATCCCTGCACATTAAACCCCTCATTTTTGTTCCCATATCAAAGCCTAAGGGGGTCCACAAAATCTACTAACCCCAGAACCCCAAAAACGTAAATCTGGCCTATGGGAAGCCCTGAACCTCAGTCCTCCCTGTCCCTTCCCTTCATTCCATGGGGCTGGAGTGCCAGAAGAATGAGGTGTCTCAGTTGGGGGCCACATCAATGAGGGTTGAGGGTTTTTGGAGGAGTTTTTTTGCTTCTGACTTGTATGGTCCCCAACTGATTTTTCTGTGGGTGAGTTACCCCCTCCAACCCAAAAAGGGTTCCCACCCATCATAAAGAAAACGTTGAAACCTTTTGTGTTGGACATAATGTTTTACTTTATTTAAAATGAAGTTTGATAAACTAACATGAGAGTTAAAATGCTTAATCTGTTTAATAACTTAAATTAAACAGTTCTCCCCAGCTTCAGCACTAGCAAAATGGCTCAGGCTGTTAATTACTCTTATGTACTTAAGAGAGAGATTCCATTAGCAACCGGAAAGGTTTGCATTGACCCAGGTGGTCCAGGGGGCGCATGATGAAGAGAGCCTTTCCCCCCTACCAGGAGAGCAGCATGACCCAGGGCAGGAGGGTTAAATCTTGGCACTCAACTTCGGAAAGGTTGCTGACCCCTGCAGCATACCATGCTCCATCTGTGACCTTTGGAAAACATTGCAACCAATACCTCTGCGATCTCTGCTCATGCTCAGTTACTCAGCAAATGCCCTGATTCTTAACACTGACTCATTCTGTTTGCTGAACACAGCACAGGAATGAGGTGTATACACTGAGGTGACGCTCACCTGTACCTGCTCATTCTAAGGTTCAGTTAATGCATCTTTCATGAGTATTAAATTCACTCCTAATTATTTCTTTAAAAGGGAATATGAATAAAAGGGATCAGAGAAAATTCATTTGACCTTGAATGTATCTCTTCCAAAGGATTTTGGAGGGAGGGGGGAGTAAATATGCCTCGATAAGAGTGTTGCATAACTTGTCCCCATAATATAAGAACAAGAGGACACCAAATGAAATTAATGGGTAGAAGGTTTAAAACTAATAAAAGAAAGTTCTTCTGCATGCAGTGCACAGTCAATCTGTGGAACTCCTTGCCAGAGGAGGCTGTGAAGGCTAGAACTATAACAGAGTTTAGAAAAGCGCTAGATAAATTCATGGAGGTTAGGTCCATAAAAGGCTATTAGCCAGGGGTTAAGGAATGGTGCCCCTAGTCTCTGTTTGTCAAAGGCTGGAGAAGAATGGTAGGAGACAGATTACTTGATCATTGTCTTTGGTCCACCCCATCTGGGGCACCTGGCACTGGCCATTGTCGGCAGACAGGATACTGGGCTAGATGGACCTTTGGTCTGACCCAGTGTGGCCATTCTTATGTGTAGTTTTGATGCATTTGTAAGAAAAAAGAAGCATAAGAAAGTGAAACTGGATGAATGAGGGGTATGTGGGTGTTTGTGAGAGAAAGCAGAATATAAAAACCCTGCTGACATTGTTAGAATGAATGGTTTGATTATATAAAAATAGACCTCTAGCCCTTTCTCACAGAACAGGAGTGACTGGAGATTAAAATGCTCTGCTTTGTTTATCTAAAGGAAGGTTACGGTATTGGGGACGATGAGTACTCCTGTGCATATGATGGCTGCCGGCAGCTGATTTGGTATAATGCCAGAAGTAAACCACATTCCCATCCCTGTTGGAAAGAAGGTATTTACTTCATCTTGTGGCAGTTATCCTAGCCTGCTTTCTCCATAGAACTTGTCTGGTATACTCACAGCAGCAGTAGCCTCCATTTGGAGTTTATTACCAGTTTCAGAAAGTCTGACGATCGCCAACTTCTTACCAGTCTTGCCACTTCCCATGGAGACATTACATAGCCAAAATGACCTCATTTTGGGGGGGTCATCCCCCTCCCCACTAGTTATTACAGGCATTGCTGTAAGTAACAGTCCAACCTTAAGGTGGCACTTTCTGTAATAAGAGCATGTTTTTGGTTACTTACAACTTTGCCAAACTTAAATCATTCAGGCAGAAATGTTTCATGTTGTGTTTGCGCCTCAGACTGATTTTTTTTTTTAAAGCTTTGGCAAATATAGTTTGGCTATTTCTAAGAACAAGGTTTGGGAAATGCATTGTTTTGCCCTGTATAAGAAAGGAGGAAACTTTGTTTTGAGAAGCTATAGTGTCCTTATGCTTTTGAGTAGGAACTTGAAAATTGGGAGGAGCAGGCTGGCCCCCTTCCTAGGGATGTGCTCTAACATCCATGAAAATCAACCCAAATTTGCCCAAGTTGTAAAACCTTTAAAATGTCTCCATTTGCATATGCTTGGTAGAAACTTCTTTAGATTTTGGCAGCTAAATTCCCTCAAAATTGTCTGCAATGGCCATGCTCCAGCCAGGGGAGGGAATGGAAAGAGGTAACCCTAAAGCCTGCATTTGCTAACTTTTGAGTATTTTACTTAGCAATGTTAATGTTCTTTGAGGCTATGTCTACACTGCAAAGCTCCGGTGTCCCAGAAAAGCTCTGCTGCATCCAAAAACTGTTTCAAAAAAAGCGGATGCGTTCTTTCGGCATCCCTATGTTCCTCATTGTATGAGGAATAAGGAATGTGCTGAAAGAGGAGGTTTTTCCAAAATTTGGCCTCATGTGGATAGGCCAAATTTGGGAAAAGCCTCTTAAATCTCCCCCGCTTCATTAGCAATTGAGATACGTCTAATTTGCATCCCTTTTACGAAAAAGGGATGTAATCTAGACGTAGCCATTATGTAGCTGTTTGTGTGCAAATCAACCTATATCTTCCTTTCCTATTTTCATCCAATTTCCCCCTCATTATTCTCTTTTTACTATGCTAAATAACTCTTCTCGCTCCTTAGTGCTTATTCAGATAGTGGTAGGTTGTTTTCTGTTAGTCTCTCCTTAGCCAAACTATTCAGTCAACAATCCTCAATGATCAGCACCTCCAGCTCCCAACCATATTTGTTTTATTTGTTAAAGACCATAGATATCAAACTTTATAATTATAAAATATTTTTGTTTTTGCACATAAGGAGACACAATAGGATTTTTACTAGATTTGCAAGAAAAGCAAATGATCT